TACTCCCGGAGCCAATCAAAATATAGTAGGACGCCCTCATCAGAAGGCGGCACCGACGCTGTTGCTGGCTGAAGAAAGCAGAGCAAAACCAGCAGCACCAGAAGCGCCAGCAGTAGCAGCAGCAGAAGAAGCAGGCACTGCAACAACACTATTTAATCAGGATTATTGCACTTCATCAGTTGATCTCAGCAGAGTTTGCACGCATAGGCGCATATGCTTGCACACACCATGCAGTTGAACGACAGGCAGCGGCGACTGTTGCAGCAAATATAGGAAGCAACGACAAGTGATGTCTAGTGTACGCATTAATGCATGGACATTTTGCATGTAGCAGCTCTAACCTGTTGCGATGTTTCCCGCTGATGTTTCCCGCTTGTTTCCCGCTATGTTTCCCGCTTTTGCATGTAGCAGCTCTAACCTGTTGCGATGTTTCCCGCTGCTGATACGGGATGGTAGCTGCACGCAGCAGCAGCTGGGAGACAGAAGCAGGGGCCCCAGCGGAAGAAGAAGGCAGCATGGTTGCTACTGGTTGCTTAGGGAGAATTACCTTTTTTGCAGGAGCAACGGATGATGTTCCTGCCGAGAGTCTAGATGGCCTTTTTTTCTTCTTCTGATAAGCCTCACGCTTCCGCGGCGCAGCAAGAGCCACCGATTGAGGCACCACAGTAGCATTCACCAGTTGAGGCGCTGCAGCAGCCACAGGTTGAGGGCCTGTAACAGCCACCGGTTGGGGAGCTGCAGCAGCTACCAGTTGAACCGCTACTGCAGCCACCGGTTGAGGGCCCGCAGCAGCCACCAGTTGAGGGCCTGCAGCAGCCACCGGTTGGGGCGCTGCAGCAGCAACCAGTTGAACTGTTATAGCAGCCACCGGTTGAGGGCCTGCAGCAACCGCCGGTTGGGGCGCTGCAGCAGCAACCAGTTGAGGCGCTATGGGAGCAACCACCAGTTGAGGCGCTGCAGCAACAGTCACCACTTGAGGCGCTCCAGCAGCAACCACCACTTGAGGGGCTGCAGCGACTACCGATTGTACCTGCAAATCCGGAAAAAGCAGGGCACGAAGGCAGAGATCGAATATTGCGGCAGCCCCTAACAAAAATGCCTTATCTAATGAACTCAGAAGCTCACCTCCGTTGCAGCAAACGAAGCCTCAGTGAAGACAAGAGGATCTGCAACATCAACAGCTGAGCCAGGTAGTATATTTTGCGGGGTTGAGGGCCCCGTGGTTGGCTGCTGCTTTTCGCTGCTTCCCTCTTCACGGTTTTCCCAAAGATCTCCTGCTGCATGTGAAGGCATTGAGAGCTGGCCATTCACCGCACCCCATGCAATACTCCCGGTCTGCACCAAGTCAGCGGCTTCTGCTGATGTGGAGGGCGGCGAACCAGCAGACACATCAATTGGCTCAGAGGTCCCTGTTTCATCTGCTCGCAGCCAGGTCGATACTGCAAGGGGATCTTCGCTGCCAAGCAACACGCCATCAAGAAAGGCATCCAACTCAGGGTCGAGATGGGAGGCAGGCAGGGGCGGTGGTTCTTCAAACGGAACCTCATACTTCTTCGGCTCGCCTCTTCAGACTTACGTGCATCCCGTCTGCCTCTACCTGTTCAGCGGTTGCCCCCAGGAAAGCTTGAGTTGCCGTGCCGCCGGTCGCGTCCACTGAAGGAGTATACTCTGTATCCGCTACTAGTTCATCGACCGGCGTAAGACCAGAAAACAATTGAAAGCCGGCATCTCGTAGGTTCTGCGTTTCTTCTGAGGATGTGTGCGCACGGTATTCTGCGCTGCTTGAATCGGATTCCTCGCATTTTTCGGGCCCCCAGCGAGAGGCCAGCCTTCTGCCGAAATAAGGGAGCGTAATTCTTTTTCTCAAAAGCCAACTGCACAGGTAGACAAGGAATATCATAGCAGAAACGGCAGAAAATGATACAAACAGCAATGGGATCCTTAACTGGCTCGCCGTCGTGGAGGGCCTGGCACTGCATCTCGATGTGTGGTGTCTTGTGGCTCTAGAAGGGAAGCAGGATGAGGATGCTCAGGTGGAGAAGAATTCCCAAGAGGGGGGACTCTCCAGCCTGCAAAGCCGGAACCATAAATTATATTTTCGCTCATCAGCGACTGTCAGCAAGACGAATCAAAGAAGTTCATGTTGATCAGCCGCCGATGCACTCACGGAAACAGGCGCTTTTTCTTACAGAAAACGAAAATTCGTAAGAAAGCAAAGAAACAATGAGAGAAGTTTATGCAAGCCAGCAACAAGGATACCAAACGGAAACGGTTACTACGTGCAAAGAAGGTGATCAGTTCATTCGAGATTTCCTCCCGCAGTGACAGAAACTATAAGAAATGAAGCTCCATCTTCAATGAAAAAATGAAACATCTCCCTCTTAAAAATTGGCATGAAATATGCAAAATAGACCCGTTGACCTTCCACCAACTTGATTCAGCTTCGACACTTCCTCACAAACTGGACCTCAGGTAGACTATCTTGCAAAGGGGGCACAAGCAATATATTATTAGAAATAAAGCAAGCCACCTTAAACAGGGGATAAGGCCATGAGGCCAAATGTGCTCTGGAGCTGCGCGAATCTGGGGCTGGCTTCAGACTGGCATTGCACCCGAGGCGATGACCGGGACTAGGCCGATGAGGGGACTAGTATTATTGTCCTTCCCCGTTTAGGATAATTGACCCGCAAACTATGAATGATAGGCTGCTGTTTGATATTTTAAGATTATTTCAACGGTTATGCGCTGAATGCAGCGTACGTTTGTCGAGTGTGCACCTAAATAGTTCTCCACAGGACCGTAGTGGTAGTGGCAGCTGATTGCGCTGCTCACTATAGGTTCATCGATCCCGAAAGCACTGAAGAATCCAC